CTTAACATGAGAGTTGCGTCAGCCCCCGCAGAAACATGTGGGGTCACCTGCATCACTTGAACGGCCATTCCTCGCGATTTCGAGCCTTCTCCCTCCAAATGCATCTTTTCTGCGTCCTGACATAATCTTCCCACCGTCGCGGGGGCGACCAGCTACCAACCCAACGGCCTAATTCATCTGCAAGGATATCGGTCGACGATCATGGTTGATCATCTCCCGTTGATAAGCCGAGCTGCCAGCCGATCCACCATGTCACCTCATTTCTGCTTTCTACCATAACTTCTTTCAGTCTGGTCCGTTGTCGGTTCATTGTAGTAGCGAGTGAAATTAGCAGCAGTTCTATTTCCATGGACCCGTTGGTAACAGAAAGCTGGCGCTCTTCAGCTTGTGTGAGTGACCACTTTTTACGCCATAGAGTATTGCCGGCAGGATGCTAGAATTGAAGAAGTAGGAACGGCTTTCTTTCGTGATGTTGCATCGGATGACGTCTCTGATGGAATGAAACGCCCATCAATCAATCGCTTTTGTTCGTTTGAATCTCTGTAACCTAATCATGCCGTCATACCGCATATTAATCTCTTGGCCCAGATAAATGCATTTATCGACTCCTATCTTTTCGCCGTTTAATATTTCTGAGGTTTTTGCCAGTACATCCGATCGAGGTATCTTCGTCTTTGACCGATTGCTTGGTAGTCCGATTTCTGCCTTGTTATTTTCGAGCTCTTGCAGCATTTCTTGTGACTGACTGATATTTCTACGAGCAACTCCGGGTCACCAGGGAACCTGAGGTGGCTGCGCTGAAGAATGAAGAACTCTTCACGGGCAATGAAGAGTTTCAGGGAGAAGGTGTCCGATTGTTTCCGCCCTTCTGTTTGGGAACGTGGAGGGCAATATCGAACAGCGTGATGTTTGTGAAGCAGTCGCAATTCGCTTCCTTTGGCTGGTTGATTTAACTGGTGTCGTCGATACAATGTTCTGCCACCGCAGTCCACTGCGGTATTATTATGCTCGATATTATCGAATGCTTTTTCGAAGCCGACGAAGGCCATACACAGAGGTAGCTGGAGGATTTTTACAATTTTTTCGCACTCGAGGAGTTGACTTAAAGTAAGCTATCATTTGTACCTTCGGAATCCTGTCTGTTCATCCAGATTTGCTGACAGGCTGTTGGTGATGAACTTAATGAACAGCTTGTAAACTTGTGAGGACAGGCAGATTGGACGATAGTTATTCAGATTTTTCTACTCATCCTTCTTGAACAGCAAGATTATTTTTCTGACACCCTTCAACTTGATCGTATCTTTTCCATTTCCAGATGGCAACTAAATTTTTTTGCATATCATTTCAATTATCAGACCGTCTCTCTCCAGGGTTCTTTCTTCCTTCGTTTCTGAGTGGCATCTGAATTTCGCTTTTGAGGACCGGGAGTGCACTTTCTTTTAATTTTTGAATGGATGGTGGGGTGAGGGAGACATGTTGTTTACCAAAAGAACATGGTATAGATGTTCTTGTAGATGGACTATATCTCAGCTCTGTCAAACGTTAATGTTCCATTCTCATTCTTCAACGCTTCTGCGGTCTTTCAGTGTTTTCTTTAATTTTTGCAATCATGAGGACACAAATTTCTACTTCAGTTTTCGTGTAATAGACTTTCAGAGAAGAGGGTACTCCACCGACTAGGTTGCTCCTCCGCTTCTCTATTAGACTCTTTGTCTGTTCTGAGATCTTTTCTTTCGCTCTCTTTGATGTCATTACGCAGCACCTCAATTTCTCGTCATCGCAGCTGCCTTCCAGACCTCAATTTCTGTTGAAATTTCGAACATTAGCCTCGCCCGCTCCAGTCTGTGAATGCTGCCGATACTGAACGATAGCACTGGTGCTTTGTCGAACACTGTCTCGTTCTTGGACACACTGCCGGGTTCAATCCATCTCCACTTCCTGTTGGTCTTCTTTTCGAACCAAGTGTTGTCATTGTAAGGATGTTTTGTTTCTGCCATGCTCTCCAGTCAGTCGCATCGTTCATTTCGCTCTCTAGTGCCGTACCTACCAAAAAAGTTTTTCCCGGACCTTCCTCGTCCGACCTTGGCATTGATGTCTCCCATGACGAACATATACGTCGGCTTTGGGACCAGTACCGGTTCCGATTCTTTATAGAATTCTTCCACTTCCTCCTCGTCGGCTGTACTTGTACGAGCATGTGCTCGAACAATCTTCAACATCCTGTTCTTGAAAAAGAGCATAAAAACAGCACTTAGAAACTTCAGAACACTCGATAAACGACACTTCAACGTCGTTGTTCAGCAAGAGGCACAACGCGCCCAGTTTTGGTGACTTGACATGGCACGAAACGATTCTGAGGAACAACTATCAGCGTTTGCTGACTACAAATCCGATTCCTGCTGTGCTGTTCGTGTCCCTATTCTTTCTAGCGAAATGGGACTGCCTTCTTTCCAGATGCTATTCATATCCATCTCTCAGAGGCCAAAGACTATCCATAACCTTTCCTCTATTAGTTTATGGAACGTTTCATGTCTGTTTCGTTTTTGGCGCTGTAGCACAGTGTCGGTTTCGAGCTCGAAATCCCATGGTGTTCAGTTCACTTTTTTATCACGACTTTTCTTGAGCATGCAATTTACCACATCTTGCCTCATATCATAGCGTGCTGGCACAGTTGTCTACGCCAGTGTTCTACGACTGTAGGTGAAGCGGCGAAGGAAACGGTTCGGGATCGTTTGCCTCCTGATATCGGCCTTTCTTCTGGCATTTTTGGCAGCCTCTCGTCAGTCAAATACCGAACCGCCGCCATGAACTGGTCGATGGACGCAAAGGGTCCTGAGATCCATTCATTCGTGTCTCGTTAGTGCATGAAGATTTTTGCTGTCCTCTGGAAGACTGACGATGGCCTGGGGAATTTCTTACTGGCGGGTCCCCAAATTCCATCTGGTTTTTTGTCCTTTTTCTCTTGTGATCCTTAACGAAACGATTTATAATCGCAAGGTGGAGGCGACATTTTCGGCCTTTATTCTTGATGTAGGGAGGTCGCTTTTACCTCGACATGAGACTGGCATTAGTTATTGTGATTTTTGCCTTAAGGATCGAACTTGTCTAACTCGAACCTAGCTTCACTCTGGTGGTCTTATTATTGCCTGTCCCCGAGTGCACACTTGCCGCAGCTGGCCTCCGTATCTGTAGGTCATTCCCCTGTCTGCAGCACGGGCGCACCAGATGGCCAGTAACTAGGTACCTCGGAATAGTAGGTTTATTAGTTTCTTTAACTCGTGACTTTAGTCACAACTTGACTTGAAATTATATGATTTGCTTTCGAAACCCTTTCGATAAAATAAAAATTTTTTTGTTTGTTTTCAGCTGCTGTCTTTTAGCATGGCCTTGGAATACCTGAGTCTCATAACGAAGAACTTTCTCGTGTCACATTGTAGTCTGGAGTAACTAGAGGCAGGAAATCAATTTGTAACTTCTGTATCTATACTTGTAATATCACATATATTATGTTCGCGATGCTTTAACAGTAATATGCTAAAACTTAAACACGACATGACATGATGCTAGCATCTCCAGGCGGTATCAAATTGAGTTCAGAGCATATTATTTTTCATTATAGTTTAACGATTATAACATATATAGTGTGATATTCGAGCAAGTTTACCGAGCGGACGCATGTGCGCAGATATCTTCATGCTGTAAAGAATAATCGAGCAGTGCTAGAACTTTAAACTGCCATGACACGCGGCATTCCTTGACTTCCCTGCAGTCTTCGACTCAATTCGTCGCCAGACAACGTGGCGTGTCATTGGACACTATGAAATCGCACTGACAATGGTAAACCTGGTGGAAGGTTTGTACGGAGAGTCGAACTACGCCGTACGAACTGAAGGACCATTGTCAGTGGAATTAGTCAAGCGAGGTGCTTTCTCCGCTGCTGTTTAACGTCATGGCGGATTATCATATTTTAAAAAGCGTCGTCCAAAATTACAACGAGGGATTGATCGTAATTCAGAGACGGATTGGATTTATCGGATGGTATTCCTAACGGACCTTTTGTACGTGATGGCATCATCCTGCAAATGGCCTATTTACACTCATCAAAGGGCGTGCAACACTGCTATGTGAGCGGGGTTTAGAGTGACGCCATAAAGGCCAAGATTATGAGAGCCCTGGCTGCGATCGTCAGTCTGAGGATACCATAGGATGGTGTTACGATTAATGAAGTAAGCCATTTCAAGTACCTCGGAACTGCCTTGACTAATAATGACAACAATGATTCTGAAGTGAACCGGCTCATTCGACTGGCATCAGTGATTTTTGGCAAGCTGTATGACTTATCCGTTAGTCGAACTATAAATGAATTTTAATAACAGATGGGAAAATCATCGTTCTGAAAGCAGCCATATTTCCAAACCGCTAGCCTCTCGTACATTCTCGAAACATTTGCTGTCCAGAAGCATTATGAGTTTCGTCTAGACAGTTTCCAGCAATGTTGGATGCGAAGTGTGAGCCCAATTTACGATGATGCCATCAGATTACGAACGAGCAAGTTCACCGATCAGAGAAAACTGTCAGATGAACTTAGAGACCAGCGACTGGCTTGGTTTGATAAAATGATCCAAAAGCAGGATGGAAATATATTCACAGTCTTTTTGCTTGGGAACGGAGTACTGTTCATAAACGTTGTTGAAGGACAATATAAAACGCGGAAACTCGTAGTTGAGGCAGGTCCTACTTGTGAACAAGTATATCATTTTGCCGCATGTGTGAACGTTGCTTGGCATCAGTCTAGCATTTCTACCGTTGCTAACATTTCTAGCGGTCAGGCATCATAAATCGGGGTTGCTCTCTTCTTTTCCTAAGTCTTGGCGGTATGCCATAACTTCACACCGTAAATCTTGGTGCATAGAACGACAGTATCAAGCAGTTCTTTTTTATGAACATGGTCAGTTCCTTATTTAGCAGCAGTATTTTGACATGCCTCTTTCCTTGTTTTGCTGATATCGCCGTTGATGTTGCTACTGAAGCCTATTAGATGGCTTTTTCCACTTCTTGATTATCCATAATAGTACTGATTGTGCAGCGATTTCATCTTGAAGATATTCATCTCCAGACCGATGCGGTATGACTCCTTCTGCAACTGTAGAACCTTTGTTTGGAACTTTGCCGGATCTTTGGTGAAGATGATGACGTCATCTGCAAAGAGTTGGTGAATCAGCCGTTCTCTGTTAATATTAATTCTGTCGAGCCAGTTCAGAAGGTTAAAGAGGGATTTCAGCGCCATTACAAAAACCTTAGGAGGGATGATGTCTCCTTCGCGTATTCCTTTTTGATCTTGATTCGACACTGTCCCTCGAATAGCTTGATGTCCGTTGCGACGCCAGTAGGCAGTTCCTCGATGACGTCCACGTAAATAGGGTTTATGTCGCAGTCCTGTTAGGTGTTCAGTATAGTTCAACTCAGTGCAGCCAAGCGCTTCTTGAAGTCGATGAACGCGTAGCAGATGTGTTGAATACTCCACTAATGGCTGTGATCTGTAATGGAGAACCCTATTCGGAAATCCGCTTCTTCTTTACTATCGAGCAGTATCAGGTATTTCCGGTTACGGTCGAGGATGACTCGGATGAGGACCTTGTACACTTATGACAGAAGAATGATGGTTCAGTAGTTATGGAGGTCTTCATCACTTTTTCTGATTGAGAGAGGAATCGTAGGAGTGCCATGGTCCATGTGTCTTCTGCCGGACGTACCCTGTAAATCGTCCGGCGAACGTTTTGAGCAAGGTCATTCCTCCTGACTTGATAAGTTACGGTTTTATGCCATTCCTCTCTGGATATCTGCCATGCTTGATATTTTTGTCTGCCCTCTCTAATTCGGTCCAAGTGATAACACGAATGGTTTTCGGTTTAACGGTTAGCTTTCGGTTGACCTCTACCTTCGAGGAGTAGAGGTCGTTGTAAGATCCCTTGCAGATATCATTCGTGCGAAAGCGAACTGTGGTTCTTCTGCCTTCTTCTTCCTTTAATGCTTCCTCGGCTTTCCGACCATTCTTTGAACCGAAGGAATTGTCACTGGTCAGACCTAGGAATAACACTGGTCCAGCCAGGTAATCCGACGAGGAGGAGTACCGTACCATCATCGATGAATCACCTGGCATAACAGCTCTGCAAGTGTTGTTCGTTGTGGGATGCGCGCATAGCTTTTTGGTGATTGACAGGACGTGGGATGATTTCAGATTGTCGCTCAATATCATTTCAAGATAGCTAATCTTTTCCAAGCAATTGATCGGACTGTTTTCAATCCGAAATTGGATCACACCGCTGAAACCGTGATAATCTTGAAATGGTAGACTTTAGCATGAGTTGAAGAAAAATCTGTGCTTCATAAACTAAGTCCTCGTGCTGCTGGGTATCACTAAACTGTTAATGAGGGTGCAGCCTAAATTAGACCATAGTTGAGCAGCTGCTATGAAGTATAGGAAATGATATGTACACGGCTGCGTTCTGTAATGCATATTGCTTGTTGAGTAACAAGCATTACGTAGAGAAGTCATTCTTTCAGTTCGAGCCACACATACGGGTTGGCATGTTCCGAGTCAGTACCGTGGTATAAGAGTCCAATGCAGTGCATGCACTTAAACGCCATGGAGTAACAGCCTGATTAAATGGTCCCCCTGTGTGACTCGAAGGAGTGAGGCCAACAATGGTGGGTAATTACTTCCATCCATTTTACACTATCACAACACATGTACGTGCACCAATATCTAATTCGGTGCTCGCACTCACTCTTTTTGAGTTCACTTCTGAAAAGTGGTCCTGCATTCAATGCCATGGAGCCTGGTCTGTTTAAATGACCCCCCCCCAGCCTACTATCATCAAATGAGTGGAGCGGTTACGCTGGTTAAGTTCTGTATATAAAGTGGAAATGTTATGATTTTCCGTGGCATTCCATTTTGTATACACTATTTTGAATATGGATGCATTTTTAATGACAAGAACTAAGTGCATGGTAGTGGTCTCAAATAAAACGATGTGCTTAAATGATCCACAGGAAGATGGAATCAAAAGGAATGGGAAAACAGAAAAACTGACTCCTGTTAATAGGAGTATTCTAATCTACTATTTGACAGAATTTAACTCGCATTTTTTGGAGGACACTCATCGAGGTTTTTAATGAGTTTTTAGTAGAACAGCTGTCACTGGTCACCATTGAAACTTTGCTAAGACATGGGCAATGGATAATTTTGGACCAGTAGCAGAGTAAGTGAGTCCAGTTCAATTGCTACCATGTCCGTTAATTTTTAATCTCGCAACATTAGATCATATTTTCTCGATTTTAATCGTTTTACTCTTTTTCGATATTTGCCTGACATTTCGACCTAAAATGGAAATGGTTTTGTTCTTTCTTCTTGTTTATAACTCGATTTGATTAGAACAGCCGAGCATATAGAAAACAGCCTCATTGAGTTTCTTCCTCATCTGGCAGCATGGAATTGCCTTGCCTTACTTGTGTGAATCTCGCCTTTGAAGAAGGCGGTCTTCGACGACCGAGTGCAGTTTCTCGCCCTTTTATAATGAAGCAAAGCGGCATGGGGCCAAAACAATTTCTGACGGGAAGCCATTCTCAACAGGTATTGAATCGCGCATCTTCTTACGCATCGACGTTATGACTCTCCGTTGCCGCTAAGCGAAAGCACTCTGGAAATGACTCATCATTTTCAAGAACAAACTTTCAACATCTGGTGCCGATACTCAGCCAGTTGAGCCGTCAGCAATATGAGTTGCAAAGACTGCGGCGAGCAAAGGTGACCGGTGAAGCAACACAGACAGAAGTCAGCATCGGCATTTGTCCCCTGTTTTGCGCCTGCCAGATAGGCGAGGAAGCGTTGCAGATGTCATGCACTTTTCGAAAACTTTTAGAACTTTCTTCCGTACGGAATACAAGTTTCAGCCTCTGGGACAAGAGCGCATTTTGCTTTGACGATCGTTGATCCGGCAGTCGGTGAGGACCGAACGACACTCGGTACTTTTCGTCTTAACCGGACGTTCGACTTAAGCCTCCTTGCCTCGGCAGCTGTTCATTGCTCTTTTGAAACAAGCAAAGCTGACGGCCGTCAGAAAACCAGAAACTAGAAACCACAGCTCTGACATCACGTCCACCTGCCCGCTAGACTATCGACTTCGATTTCGAGAGGCGGGGGCTAGGCGTGAGAAGTGTGACAGTCAGAAATATAATCTGGGGGGG